TCAATCCACGGCGTTCCCTGTTTAGATGTTATTTATTTGTGTGTCCTGATAGAGGCTGGGCCCGGCCAGAATCTCTCTCCTCCCTTGCACGTCCAGCCGTAGTACCGTGCTGCAGTACCGAGATTCTTCAGATGGCACAGAACCCCCCTGGGGAGCAGAGCCCCCTTGCGGGGACAGGGTGGCACGTCTGGATTTCACAAATACGACTACTTTGCGCTTCACTGGTGCTCTCACAGCACTTACAAATGCAGGCACCATTATCCCCAGATGGGAAACTGAGGCGGGGGGGAGTGACTCATCCAAGGTCACATAGTCAATCAGTGGCAGAGGTGGGAAGAGAACCCTGTGCATTAGCCATTGGACAACACTGCCTCCTATTTCAAAGGGGACTGGATACCGAAATGAACCCAGGCCACTGTTCTGCCCACCTCATCTCTGCTAGTCTAAGGTACTTGCATGGCCCCGGCTTCCATCGTACCTGAGCGCCTCATGATCTTCTATGTGTTTATCCTCACAACCCGCCCCCCCCCCCTGTGAGGCAGGGCAGAGCCATTAGTACAGAGGGGAAACTGAGGCACGGAGGGACTAAGGCAGATGACAGAACAAGGAGCAATGGTCTCAAGTTGCAGTGGGGGAGGTCTAGGTTGGATATTAGGAAACACTATTTCACTAGGAGGGTGGTGAAGCACTGGAATGGGTTCCCTAGGGAGGTGGTGGAATCTCCTTCCTTAGAGGTTTTTAAGGCCCGGCTTGATAAAGCCCTGGCTGGGATGATTTAGTTGGTGCTGGTCCTGCTTTGAGCAGGGGGTTGCACTAGATGACCTCCTGAGGTCTCTTCCAACCCTAATATTCTAGGATTCTATGAACACTGCTGTGAGGCAAGGAAGTGCTACTAACCCCAGTCTACAGAGACTAAATGACTGGCTTAAGGTTCCTTGGCAAAGCAAGGAAATGTACGCAGACCTCCTGAGTCCCAGGCCAGCACCCTAACCACTGGGCCATATTTCGTCCCCTATCAACCCATCACTTTCACAAGCAGTCAATTCCATCGGTAGTCTGAAGGGGTCCTGTCCCAGGTAGGAGCCCAAAGTGAAACCTGGTATTTGCAAAAAATGCATCAAGACAGCTGTCTGATGCCAAGTTAGCACATCTGCCAAGACTCAGCTAGAGAAAGGGCTCCATTTGTGACTCACCCGGAGGAGCCTGCAAGAATCACAGCTTGAATCTTAGCTGGAGTAGCACGGAACGGACCCACACACAGTCAGCCTATCTGGCCACCAGGTTACTCCTGGGGGAATTCTATGCCACTGGGCACGTGCAGAATTCATCTCCCCCCCGCAGATTTTTTTCTCTGCAGAAAATACATTCTGGTGGAGAGGCGCTGCAATTATGCCTTTCGCCCACCAGGGGCTGCTGTGTCATCAGAACAGAGGGCAGTCGGCTCACCGGCCGTACCAGCCCAGCAGCCAATAGGGGGAGGAGAGGCTGCATTCCCCACAGCATCCTGACCATGGGGCCAGGTGAGGAGGCACAGGATATGGAGGGGAACAGACAGAGCAGGGCACATGGGGCTGCTGGGGGATAACAGACTTGGCTTCAGAATGGCTAGTGGGGGGCAGACTGGGGCAGGGGCTGAATGGGAGAGGAGGATGCAGGGACACATAGGGACAGGAGAAGAGGTGGCTGAGTGGGGGGGTGCAATGACACATGGGGATGGGGGAAGTGGGGCGCAGGGACACATGGGGACAGGGGCAGATATGCCTGACTGAATGGGAGAGGCTAGGGGTCAGCCAGGGTGTGCATGGGGGAGGCTCCCCAACTCTAACAATCCCCCAGCCCCCAAAAGTTCCATACTTCTCCCACCCACACCCAACAACCCCCAGGTTGACTCCCAGGCCCCTTCCCAACAATTATGTTCCTCTCCCTCAGATCCTCCGTTACCCCTGACTCCCCAGCCTTTGCACTGCTTCTGAGGGATGCGGGAAATACTTTTCTGCATTGTAGTTTAAATAAATTATTACTCAAAGCTCTCT